CCTCGCGCCGGGACCGGGCACGGGGACCGATCCCTAACAGGTGGCGCCCTCGGGGCTGCCCGGGGCCCGCGTGGCGCGGCGGGCAGGGCCGTCAATCAAACGTCCTCTCGCAAAGGTCAAAACGCTGCTGCCAGGGCCTCAGGATCTATCTTAGGGTGACAGGTGGGTGGCAGCCGGGAGGGCCGGGGGGAAGCGCCTGGCGACAGGAGAGGGGTGACAGTGAGTGATGGGTCCCAAAGGGGAGAAGGCAGAGGGGCCCCGCGGAGGCATCAAGTTGGAACAGCGCCCCCCCCCGCCCTTCTAGGAGGGGACTGGAAGCGGCCTCCGAGGGAGCCCCCCGACCCTGCGGGGTGGTCTGGGCTGACATGGAGGGACAGGGCTGTTTGCAAAGCCAACGGCTAGTGACAGGGACCTGAAAGTGGGCCACCGGGCCACCAGAGCCCCCGAGCCTTGGGGGGGCGCCTCGCTTATAGATGCACGGGCGCTGGGGATCAAGTGAGCTTTGGGGTTCACGGCCGGGGTCCACCCTAACGTGTGAGAGTGTGGGAGGGAGACTGGGGGGCATGCAAGGAGCCCCAGGGACTAGAGGCCCCCCCGCAGGAAGGCCCGCACCGACCACCGACGTCAAGAAAGCTTCGAAAAATCATGGCTCCGAGCTTCCCAATCAACAGGAGGACGTTTATTAGCCGCGGTATTAATAGCTAGGAAACAGCCGCAGCCGGCGGGGGCCAATCAGCGGCCAGGAGCCCCTGTCGTCAAGCCGGCGCGGCCAATCAGACGCCAGCAGGCCGAGTTGCTAGCCTCCCCGGGGCAGAGGAGAGGGGCTTGCATTGGGGCGGGGGCTCCAGCTCGCCCTCCACGCGTGGGGGGTGGCCTGGGCGGGAGCCCCGGCAGCCAGCAGGGAGCGTCAGTGGTCACGCACTCGGGGTCCCCGGGGTCTGGTCGTGGAGGCAGCGCCTCCTGGCATCAGCTCTACGGGCCCCAAAGATCCTGAGCTGACACTCTGGGAGGAGCCCCCGGCCTTGGTTGGGGGCCCCCGAGAGGCCCTGTGCAAGGAGAAACTCCAGACATGCAACGCGCATCTCTCTCCAACAGCCCGGCCCCGCGCGGGGAGCTGGGCCTCCCAGCGCCAAGTCAGCCTCTCTGCTTTTTTTTTTTTTGCTTTTTTTTTTTTTTTTTTTTCCCTC